CCTCGTACGATAATCAATCAGTGTCCGAGGATTTCTATCCTCGACACTCCTCCAGGGATCGTTGTTCCTACGGTCCCAGCGAAGTGAATAGGGCTCTCCATGTTTGTCCCGGTAGGCCGTGGCCCCTGTAGCGGTCACAATCTTTGTAACCTGTCTCGTTAATCCCTTCACCATGTCCCGTATCTCCTTCACTTCCTCAGCCACGGCCTCATTCTTCTCCGACCAGGGATAGTCCTTGAAATTTAGACATCTATCAGTGACATACTCCTTGTAGAGAGAGAAGTCGCGTCTCCTCATCCCTCTCCACACCAAGTCCTTGTAATCGTCTGCCTCTGCCTTTATCGCAAGCTTTAAAACTTCGGGGAAATTAAGCCTGTCGCGCGGAAGATCTCTAAGAATACTCTTTTGCCTACCTTTGGACAAGTGTCCGATGAAGATAGTACAGCGCTCGACCTCTTAGATTTTCCCCTTCTTCATTAGCACGTCGGAGATCTTCTGGAAACGCATCCCAAATGCCCGTACGCTCTCATCTTCATCTTGAGTCATTGTTTCAAGGTCCTTAATGGAATACTCGTTGTCCTCCAGTTTGTAAAGTTCAACAAGATTCTTCTTGTACGTAGTCAATTTCCCATCCTTCGGTCGAGCTTCCTTAACTTCCCTACCGAGACTTGGGTCCACATTAAATAGGAAGTTCTCTATAATCTCTTCCTCCGACCACTGACTCCGGCTGGCGTGAAGCTCCCACTTCTCSAGATATTYTGTGATACCATAACCCCTGAAGGCAGGAGGCTCTGAGACCTTGTGCGTAATAATATACCGGTCCTTGCTCTCGTAAGGGAGCGGATGTGACTCCCCTGTCTGGGGATCAAAGACTCGCCTGGGCGGTGCCCTGTCTCTATCTCTGTCCCTCCAGTAGGAATCCCTCAAATTCTCTCTCCAATCGTCTCTGTGCCCGTCCGCTATGGTGTCCCTCCTCTGCTCCTACTCGGGGGAGCGTCGTCTCGTCGTTTCTCGTCGTCCGCTCGAGGTACCCGTCCTTAGAACCTCCTGCGGTTCTGTTGCAACTGGTTCGCTTCTTACGTCGGACCCTCCGTCATTGGTTTGGTCAGCCCATCTCAGCGGCGCTTCTTGCCTAATTCGTTCTTTCAGATCCCTCAGTGCTCGATCGGGCGATGCCCTGTACTCTTCTCCCGCTTCGCTCGTAGTCGGTTGTGGCCCCATCGTGTCGGGTTCCATTGGACCGCCAGAAGATGTAGTCGGGCACTTACGCCAGGCATTACAGCCCAGACCCAATGTCAGGACTGGCAGCCCGGACCTAATGTTTGATCCAGCAGCCCGGACCTATTTGTGAGCAGTCCTTTATGTCCTAACAACTACGCTAGGAACTTCTTCAGTTGGAGCGTTGGGCTCGCTTAAAATTAGAGCTTACGGACAACAGCCCGGCCCAATTTTGAGTTGCCTAGGGGCGCCACAAACCTTGGTTAGCAGAGCCTAAGAGAAGGAGTGGGCGGGAGGGCCGCAACCCTGATCAGCGGCACCCTGCAGTATACAAAAAGCTTAGTGAGATGGGCAGGCGGGATGGAGGAACACCTCTAACAGCAAAATAACATATGGGAAAAGGAAGACTCGGAATAGTCAGAAATAGGGATGTGAGAGAAACTCAATTGACACTGGTAGAGAGAAGTACAGAAGGAATTAGAACGGAGGCACGATGACAGTCTAACTGAGACTTTCCGCAAATCAACCGAGCCCTTGCGACTCGGAGCCGCACTGAAGTCGTACTAATCTAGACTGATCTAAAAAGGAAAGGGTGTTGAAATTCCGGTTTCGGATTGGCCTATAAGTCTTATATTCGAGTTCCCTCGAATATAAGGTGTGGGCTCAACACGAGGGAGTTCTGTTTACTGCACCCTCGAATAGGTATCCGAGCAACGGACCCTGTCCCCTAGTCAAGACCCAAAATTAAGAGCCGAGCGTACTCACTCTTTGAATTTTTAAGTTTTTTTTTTGCAATTTTAAGAGATTTTTTATCGTCTAAATTAATGAAAATTGCTTATAAACAAGAAGAAAACACTACCTCGCGCTCAACACATAGGGGGATGTAATGAAAACCCTAGCGAGCCACGAGTTATGCACATGCTTCCTTCCACCCCTTGCTGTTGATTTAATCCGAATATTTGACAAATAATTATAAAAAAATAACTTTAATAACTGAAAATTTCCGTCACTTGCCTCAGACCTTTGGGAACAAGCCAGTAGGTTCACCCGAACCTAGGTTACCGCAGCGTCTCTTTCCCTTCTTCCTCTAGGGAATTCTTTTATATTTTCCAATTATAAATTAAAGAAAATATATTTAGTTGAGATAAAATCTCTTTTTTAGTTTATATATATTAAGGATGAATACATATATAAGCCC